GCCCCTAAAATCTTGGAAAAAGTTACTTCACACTACCTCAGGCCAGTTCATTACCTTGCGTTTGACTACTACCAACTGAGACCGGTTTTTAAGCCTCTCCTGTCGTAAGGAGTCGCAAGGGTGTGAACGAGTCGTTACTTCAGTACCAAAATGTGTCTTTGTCATGTTATTAAATCTGAATATAAAATCGAGCACTGGGCCTGATGAGATACTGAACGCCTTCCTCCATAGATATGCCGAATCTATTTCACGCTTTTAAACAGTCATTTTTCGTGCTTCTTTTCGTTCAAGTGTGCTTCCGAATGACTGGCGAACAGCGTGTGTAGTGCCAATTCATAAGAAGGATGATCATTCTGTTGTAAGCAATTTTCGTCCTATTTCTATCACTAGCAACGCATGCAAACTTATGGAACATATGGTTAGTAGCTATATTCAAAATTTCTTGGAAGAGAGGAGTTTGCTGACTTCTTTTCAAGATGGTTTCCGGAGGTGGTACTCCACAATTACGCAACTAGTTACCACAGTCCATGACTTTGCTGCTACCCTAGACAAGTCTGAACAGGTCGATATTTTTTTTTAGATTTTTGCAAAGCATTCGATAAGGTCCCTCATGGTAAACTTCTTTTTAAACTAGAATGTCTTGGGCTACCACCAGAGATAGTTAACTGGATAGGATCCTATTTGTTCAATCGTAACCAGTTTGTTGAAGTTGGTGGCCAATTTTCCGGTACCCTCAATGTTTCCTCTGGTGTTCCCCTGGGTAGTGTAATAGGTCCCCTGCTATTTCTGGTCTATATAAATGATATTGTATCAACTGTGAGTACTAACGTTAATATCCGCTTATTTGCAGATGATTGTGTTTTGTTTAAAACCATATCCTCTGTTGATGACCAAAAAACGCTTAATTCTTCTCTTTCTCTAGTTGACGATTGGTGTAACGAATGGGAAATGCAACCGAATTCCGCGAAGACTGTTCACTTACGCATGACGAGGAAAATTAAACCTTTGAAATTCACATATCAAGTAAATAATGTTGCAGTAACCGAAGTAAGTGAATACAAATATCTTGGAGTAACCCTAACAAACGATCTACGATGGTCAAAGCATATCCAAAACATCAGTTCCTCGGCTTTTCGAAAATTAGGTTTCCTACGACGCAAGTTAAAAAATGCTCCAACCTCCGTTAAACTCCAAGGTTATAACTCCTTGGTAAGGTCAAAAATAGAATATGCTATATAATCTGGGATCCAAACACAAAAAAAGATGCATCAAAACTTGAGATGGTCCAAAGGAGAACAGTTTGTTTTATTTATGGAATGTACAAGAGACTTGACTCCCCATCCTCCTTAATAGCGGCAAACAATATCACGTCCCTGGAACAGCGTAGGAAAATTGCAAGACTGAAGTTCTTGTATCTACTTTATAACAAGCTGTGCGTCGACTCAAGTTTATATATAACCTCCTTATCTTCCAGAGCCACTAGGAACCACCATCAGTTTTCTCTTCAACCAATATTTGCTCGAACCAACATTTTTAAGTTTTCATATTTTCCACGCACCATATCAGATTGGAACGCCCTCCCTTACAATATATTCATAGCTCCTAATTTTAATAAAGCACTTGATGATCATCCTTTTTAGGTATTGCCATTGTGCTCTTGTGTTGTGAACCTTTTTGAACATATGTTGTACAAACATTTTTCCCCGTTGATTGTTAGTTATGAGAGTGTTAATTACTAAACATTATGAAAGCCATGTGTAATGATGGTTTACAAGTCTTTTGTACCCCACACCTGCAAGGGCCTATCAAAAGGCCTGCAGTATGTAATAAATAAATAAAATAAAATAAAATCCGCAGCAGCTGAAAGGAACAACAATGTAAAAGTTAAAACTGCCAATGTTTTTCTTTTTAATAGGCAAGATTGAATTCTGGTCACACATTAACTATGGCAAGTTTGTCTCTTCCTCATAGATGAGAGTAGTATCAATAGAAAACGATAAAGGCATTTTTACAAACATATTAGACCTTGCCTCGAAGAGCACACCTTGAGCAAAGGAGCCTGGAACAAGAGCTAGAGCATAACCTAGTGTAGATTCAGGTGCAGAACAAAGAGTAGCTGCTCTGAAAAACATCAATGTTTCCTACTCCTTGACCCAGCCTCTGGATCACAACTGGAGAAGAATCACCTAATACTCCCCAATACTTTAGTGTGATGACGAACGGTGGCGTTTAGGCAAGAGGCTCCACACCAAGGCCAAATAGTCTGGCTCTGTGTGCACAGTCTCCGTGGCCAACCAAGCTGGAATTCCGATTCAAGTTTCTCAGATATTGCTGGCATTTGAAAGGTCTACTTGCTTCAGGCTTTACATAATTGCCTTTAGGGTTTGTTAACCTTGTGTTAGGATGTGCCCGATGAGGCAAGACCGTTTACAAAATGGCCTGGGACGCTGCTGGTATTTGTGAGGCTTATTGCGCACAAGGGCTTCAGTGTGGCGAGCTTACCTATTCATCCAAGCCAAACCTTTGGGACCTACCTATGTTGCACACCGGTATATGTTTACTTTGCTTGAAAAGGCATAAAGTTCCGCAGGGGTAGGCTCGACTTGAAGGGATACTTCAACGAAATTTGAAATATTCCTGTCGTGTTCAAAAATAGGTTGAATATGATCCACAATATCCGTAAATGACAATCGCACGTTTGTATTTTGAGCCTGGTGGCTGTATTTATCGCTATAAACGGCCCACTCTAGCAAGCGCTCGGAGAAGGCCCAGCTTAGAGCACGTGACATCCGACGCAATCGTGACGTAAGTCGTCTCGGGACGAGCAAAGCTACGGCGAGGCTGACGTCGAGAGGATGGCCTAGTCGTTTCAGCCACCGAAGTGGCTGCTTTTGTACGAATTTTGAGTGACGGGTTAATCTTCTATAATCTTGTAGGGGGAAAATAGCGACTTCTGCGACACACAAAAGGCATTCTCGGGAACAGGGGAGTTGCTCCTTCCCCTCTTCTCTCGTCGTGGCCGTAGGCAAGACACTCACCGTCACTAGCTGTCAAGGTTCCTAGACGGGCATTACAAGCGAGGCGTTAGCGACATCCGCCAGGTGCTCTTTGCTAATCGTTAAATTTGTTTTAAAATTCCTTTTCAAGACTTTTTTAACAAGATACTGGTATGTTTGATGTGCTCCTTTGAACACATACAAACCAAAAAATGAGCGCTGAAACTTCGTTGTAGTATCTCTTTAAGGGTCAAATGCAAGGCATTCCCCTCGTATGCATCTGGTTCTGTTAGATAAACTCCTATTCTGAGCAAAGCTTTTGGTGCGTTGTTTGCATTTGCAAGGTTTTTAAGGAAGGACGAGTGCCTAACTTTTTTTAAATTTTTTGTCAATCGTGTTGAAATTTAGTGTACTGATATATTTCTCAGTGGTGATTTGGAACATGAAATTTGTTTTCAATAGCTTATATAGATCCTAAGTTATCAATAAACATAAAATTTTAATTAAGTCCTCCTTACAGGTCGTTAGCAACTAATTAGGACTTTGGGACTAATTATAAAATTATTGGATGACATATACTGCAACAAAAATAGCCTCACTACATAAAGCATGTCTTGGAGAATAAATACTATAAAATATTTTTGATGTATTCCGAAGAATTTTACGCAAACAACCCATAACGAGGGCCTACCGTAATATCCCGACTCGGCGCCCATCCCAGAGTCATTGCCCACCCCTACCTTCACCACGGATCGCGAGATAAGCGAACACCCATCCTCCCCGAATTTCGCGACCGCAAACACCAGGTCGGAAGACGGCCGTGACAATGAAAAATGAGATAGATAACAGAGTGAAGCTACCTTTGTTCACAACTAAAAGGTATTCCGAAAACCTCGTCGGCAGATTGCGAGGTCAGAGGGCGAGTTCCCTTCCAGGGAATGATCGTGAAAAGAGAAAGAAGGGGGATAATAGAACACACCCATCTTTTGTTCTCAAATAAAAAAAAGCCTCTTCCCTGCAAGCCCCAACCCCGGATCGCAGGATAAGCGAACACCTTTCCCCCGGAATTTCGTGACCGGAAATCCCAGGGTCGAAAGACGGTCGTAACAATGGAAAATGAGAAGTGCAGGTTGCAAGGTCCGAGACCACAAATCCTATCAGGAAACGTTTGTGAAAAGAAACAGAATGGGGACAAGGAAACTAATATTTTTTGTGTTTAGAAATAAAAGAAAGTCCATCTCTTCCCGGAAAGCCCTAACTGCAGATTGCGAGGTCAGCAAACAGTCGTTTTCCCAGAACGTCGCGACCGTAAACGTTTGTCAAAAACGTAACAAAAGCGGAGAGTACTACAACAAAACAGTCTTTTTTTCTCAAAAATTTTCAAGCCGCCTTCCCCATACCGGATACATTTGTCCTGCCTGTGCCCTGTTTAGGCTTCAGTTTCTCGATCCAATAGCTACTCACTGCATCAGTCAGTGGTGTTGCTGTCAGTCCGCACATCATGAGGAACAGCTATACAGTGCAGAAGCAAGAAGCCCTCAGCATTGTGTTTGATTCAGATAGCGATGTCTCACTCGACGGTTTTGAAGACGACAATGAGTAAATAAAGATTGCCCAAACGCCCCGTTTAAACGCTTACGGAACATCCCAACTTCTTCACACTACTGGCATGCTCTCTTCGGCTCGACCCTTGTGTAATCCATGCCGAGCTGCTGGAGCAGAACGTAGCTATTCATCCGTGTCGTACACACGCACGCAGCACGGCACGCTATTGCAAAAGAGGCAGCCCCCTCTGCTCCTCCTGAATGTGACACCCGACACTCCATGCTGAAACGAACGCGCTCCGCTCGCGTTTGTGCAGCATTTTTCTTTGCCCTTTATCTTTTTCTTTTCTTATGCTGTCGCGTGGTTTCAGCTTCCGAGCTCTGAATAGGCATATTTGCACGAACGGCATTAGGGCGCTTGTTCCGGTTTACGGTTGGCGGTCTTTGGGTCGCGGCCCTGCAGTAGTACAAAACATGTTCACACTCTTCGTTGCGAGTATGCAGGCAGCGGACTGGATTTTGTGTGCTAGATATCTGCAGAAAAATGGCTATTTTCTGGGGAATTTTTTTACTTTTTCCGTTTAGACACCATTTCATTGTCCACCCGACTTTTTTCACGAATTTCAAGTGGCAAGGGTGTGGTCGTTGAGTCGGGATATTACGGTAATAAAAAGTAACAAATTTATTGAAAACACAGGATCTAGTAAAGCTATCGAAAACTAATTACATATTTGAAATCACCACTGAGAATGACACCAGTATACTAAATTTCAGCACGATACATGAAAAATAAAAAAGTTAAAGGCCCTCGTTTTTCCTTATACACCGTTTTCGATAATGGCGGATCAGACTGGAATTATGAGAAAATGCTTGGTGGCACTGCTTGCACTTAAATGGCTTTTCACCAGTGTGCAAATGATTATGGCTTCGTAGATCGAAATTTCGAGCAAAGGCTCGGGGGCACTCCTTGCACTTAAATGGCTTTTCACCAGTGTGCGTTCGATTATGGCTTCGTAGATTGGAATTTTGAGCAAAGGCTAGGGGGCACTGCTTGCACTTAAATGGCTTTTCACCAGTGTGCAAAAGATTATGGATTTGTAGATCGGAATTTCGAGCAAAGGCTCGGGGGCACTGCTTGCACTTAAATGGCTTTTTACCAGTGTGCAAATGATTATGGCTTCGTAGATCAGAATTTCGAGCAAAGGCTTGGGGACACTGCGTGCATTTAAATGGCTTTTCACCAGTGTGTGTTCGATTATGACAGGTCAGAAGGGAATTATAAGCAAACTCTTGGGGGCAAAGCTTGCACTTAAATGGCTTTTCACTGTAGTGCTTTTGACTGTTGTCGAGCATTTGGGCCTTAGAGTAATACTTGGGTGGATGCTCGCACTTGGATTGTTCATCACCATGGGCAGCCAGGTGGCTCACAATTCCACGCTGATCTCTGGTGACATAGGTGCAGGAACAGCATCCAAACCAGATGTCCTCGGTGACTTTCAGAGGGCAGCTGGTCTCCCCCAACAATGTTGCTCCATCACCTAGAAGAAAAGACCATAAGTATTCACACACAAGGAAAGCCCAACTAAGATAGCCACTTAGTTTGGAAAAGAGTAGTCCTAATGCAGTTTTGCCGCAGCTGTAGTTAGATATTTTGCTGCACTTTGAAATTCAATTCACAGAAGCACTCATATGCAACTAGCATTATTAAGGGAAGCCTGTAACCTTGAAAAGTGGAAATCCTAAAAAAAATCAAACATTTTTAATTATTTTGGTTTATAAATTATACTTTACATATCCTTTTACTACAAAAAGTTTTCCGGCTTTCTAAAAGTTTTTTTTTTGTCACAAGAAAATGTTTTTACCACAGTACCTTTGGATTTATAGTCTGGATCTGAATACTTTTGGGGGGCTAGATAACTAATTATTCAAAAGGTAGAACAAAACTATCTCTAGAGATTGTTAGATATGTTGTTTTCTAATTGGCAATGACTCTGATTATGGCGGGTCAGATGGGAGTCTTCCATGAAGCTATCAGTAAAAGAATTTCAACATGTGGTGCAGTCATGTCTTGCTAATATGGACGCCCCACTATATGGACACAAATTGGGGGACCAATCCCTCCCTATGCAAATCTGCCTCATGAATATTAAAAGTCGGAGTGCAGGCTAAGGACAGCTAGTTTTGGGAACAAACTTGGTAAATACATGCAAGTCTGTCTTATTATTATGCACACAAGAGGGTTCACTAATAAAAAAAGAGCTTAGTTAAGACCTTTGGGTTACAGAGTTCACCAAGTTTCCCTACTTTCGGCTGCTTTGGCAGTCCGAAGAATAAACACATAAAAGGCTAAATTTGAAGATACAGATAAAATCTGCACTATGTTTAGAGAGGAGACAAAAGAATTGAACATGTGATTCTAACGTATAAGGAGTTTAGTGCTGCCCTTCCCAAAGAAGTGACAGACGTATCGGAGCCTAATTTGGCTGGAGAAGCTGGCAGTTTGGATTACAGTAAAGTAGATCCAACGGAGAGGTTAGAATGCTGGTAAAAATTATCTGGGAAAAAGCGATTGAAGAACAGCTACCATAAAATACCAAGTGAGCGCTCATTACACTTACCCTGAAAACGGGAATAATCTTGAAATGGGTGCTTGTTCGGTTAAATCAGGCGCTCAGTGTATAATTCACAGTATTCCCAAGTTTGGAACATGTTAATAGTGGGCACTTGAAGAAAATAGGCACTTCATCGGTATTTTACAGTAAATAGCACAGCTGGGGGCTGCAAAAAAATTGGTACTCCCTTCCTAGTGGCTCTGCCCCAAGGTCTTTGTATCTGTCACCTCAGATATTGACCAACAAGTCACAGTCCTCCGTACCCGTCATTGGCACACAGAGAGCACACTTTTTGAATTGTCGAAACAGTTATTTTCTTAATCGAAAGTTTTCTGCATCGCAGGCTTCTTTTTCAATTTCAACTACCACATACTTCTTTCAGCTTCCTTCACTGCACTCTTAACTGACTTTGTCCTCTTCATTCTTTCCTAGCATTAGCCCAGTACCTGGTAAGAGCTCACTTCCTCTTAACTCCACATCTCTCGTGTAGTAACGACGAGATGTTTTGGTGGCGGCACCTCGCATTTGTCCTCTTGTGAAGCAGCTGGTAGTATGCGAGTAGACGACACGCTATCTCAAAGGACGGAGTGAGTTAGCCTGCATCTATGCCGATTAAAAATGGCTTATTTATAAAAGAAATGTGTATGACATTTTTGTGATCTTTCTAAGGAATAACAATGCCTCGAAGTCGCTTGTTATTTTTAAAAAACTTCAAAATGTTCGAAAACAAGCCCAGAGCTTCACATTACAGCTTGCGTGGCATGCGTCAGGGCTCATCACAGCCTTTCCGATTCTTGTTTTTTCTGGATCTATGAAGGCTACTGTAGAAAAAGGCTTTGCATTCACCAGAGTAAATAATGTTCCGTCTTCTTCGCTGTGCATGCATGCACAGTTGTGTTGCAAAGTGCCGCACACTTGTATTCGCTACATTGAGGTTGCTGATACCGATACTTCTATCCAAGTGTAACTCGACAGTTGATGGCAAGCAAATGCTCGTCAGCAAGAGACACTTTGCTCCGCTTGCATCAAATGTGGCAAAGAAGTTTGTCACATCGTGACTTCTGCTTGAAAGAAAAGCAAAAATTTTCACAATCCTTAAATTCTCTGAAAAGGCCCAGCAAATTCAGGGGATTGATTAGTCTGTTCTATCCAATTTTCACTAATAATTGTTTACAAATCTAAAATCGCTCACTGAGAAGTGCATCACGCATTATGTGCATTTGGGTCCGCAAAATTAAATATACAAGGGTAGTAATTCATAGCAGGTGTATACGTCATTTTTTGGGACGCTGAAGTGTCACCCACTTACTAGATGTAAGACTTAGATCGCAAGGAGGTCTCGCACGTTTCGTGTCGACCAGGTGAGCAAGCAGGGATTTAACTGAAACGAGTCCGGAAGCCAGCAGCCACTTGTTCCTGCCAGTTATTTCGATGAAATGAGTGTTTACTGGTTAACGAAATTCTAAAAAATCAACTAGGAACTAATAAGAAATTAGCACTCACACAACACATTGAAACCAACAGGATACAAAGAGTCACTTTCGTTGGAGTGTTTTCCTATTTACAATGCCCATGACAGATTCCTTCCTCAGTTTTTTTTCGGAATCATAATAAAAGTATAGCCTATTCGCTGTGCTAGACGTTGAGGTGAGGTAAAGTGCTGGATAGCCTATTTTCATCATCCAGCTTCTTGTTTTGAGGTAAAGAACACCACACCACCAATCGAGCGCTCAGACACCTCAGCGCCAAGCGTTTGTTAGCACGACTACGCATGCCACGGTTTCAAACTTTGGTACAATGTCTTACTATAAATATCACTATACCAAATAAACACATGGCACAGGCTTTGCTGTGCATTACCCAAACAGCGCATGAAGCGAGCTGAAGAATCCAAGTTCCATGTGGTCTGTCCCAGACTGTCCTACCCAAACCATCACAAACGATGATGATAGCTAGAGAAGTGCACCCTGTAGTTGACGCACGCCGCCAATAGGAGCCCAACATTTAGCTTGCCCAAAGATAATTCGCCGCTCCTATGAACCTCCCCTCAAATTCAATTTCGTTGCTTGCCTCCCTCTCCTTGAAGAAAAATCCAATCACCCTGCACATTATGATCTGGGCTCTTAGCTCCCCTGGTGGAGGATCTCCGAACCAGCGCAGACCCCTAGGAGTCTGTGGACAGTCGTACAAGAAGCGCTGCTCTAGAGTATGACAGCCTGTAGTGTAGACACCGTCACTGTCCTCTGTTTATAAAAGAGATGGAAACAAACGAAAAACTCACCACGACTTGAGGACCAAATTGGTTCCATTCGAATCGCTGCCCAAAGTCAGGTTTCTAAGGAGTCTCGTAAGGTCAAGGGGGCGCACGGGACCACTTAGATCCTAGGAGCCAAATGCAATGAGCGATGACAGTAATTAAGAACAAAGTGAGCACACCCTCCAAGCACATGAAGTCGACGGCAGCAAGCGACCAAGGCGATGAGCGACATCTACAAATCCGAAAACCGAGCAATGCAACGAGGGACAGTAAGATGTCCCTGTCGTCGCCACTGACTCTCATCGCTGTCGCCGTTCTCGTTGCTCACTATGTCACTTACATGCGATTTAACCTTTACAGTTAGAAGGTATCTCAACCAATCTGTTCCTTTTTGCATTACCAGTACGGTAAAAAGACTAACAGTTAAAGGAGTTAGGAATTGCACCTCCGTAGAGGGAGTCCCATTCCATTTACCTCAGCAAAGATTCGTCAACAACATTTGCCTTGTTTTTTTCAATGATATTTGTAAAATGAAATGTCGTAAAAATCGCCAAATATTACAGAAAAAAAATGTTAAGGACAAAAGAAAAAGTATACCCAAATTCTGCATCAAACCTGGGCAAGCTGCATATGAAGCAGATACCTTTCCACTATTGGCAATTTGTTTTATACGACACCTAGTAAGAGTTTCAGGTCGTGCTAGGGATGAGCTCATACCGCGGCGCCCCAAGCGGCTAACTTTAGAGCTGCATGGATGGGGACAACAAATAACAATGACTCAGCGCTCGGCTGATTTAACCGAACGCCGCGTCAGTGTTTGACTGCAGTTTGTGTTCTCCGGCAGCCCGAAGGGGAGGAGGGGCTCTTTTGTTACCACTCCAGCCTGCATGAACAATGCAACACGCACAGTGCATATGCCCGGCTCAGCACAAAAGCCCAAGTGGGTCAAGCTCGCATTTTCTGACGACTGCTTTCAAGCAAGATCCGGCACTAACAATAGAAGTCACTTCGTTTATTGTTTGTATTGTTAAGACGCGAACATGCCCACAAGGCCTCTATGTCTGCAGGCCTTGTGTTGGGTGAACAAGAAGTGTGGGAGGGACAGCAAACGGATCAGAGCAGCCCCTATAGTTCAATATCCTCGCCAAGAGCTACTTATCATCCGAGATCCCGAAGCATGCGTGCAAACGCTTCTCCAGCCGTTCCATTCGACTCTCTCCCCAGCTGTACGAGCGTAATTGCACTAACTCCTTCCCTCGCCGCGAGGTGGCAATGTCCTCCTAGTCATCACAGAGCGAGCCGTGCTTCACAACTATATTCATAAAAGGCTCAGGCCGGGTACGGGCCTTGCATTCAAGTCTATAAGGCGGGCCAAAGTGGGCCAAGTCAGCTGTTACTTTTATTTTTTGGCAGCATGTTCTTTGGAAGCGTGTTCGGGGGTTGGTAAAAGAACCACAGTGGGGAAGACACAGATGCTGAAGCATGAGCATGTGTGTGTATGTTTTTGTACAGTTTGGTGTGTGTGCAGCGAAGGCTTTCCCAGAGCACTAGCGGCACGGCGTTCCTTTTCGACACCGGCGGCGCTGCCATCACACCATTACTTCTCATCAACACGCACACAAATGTACCTACACAATGCGCACCCTGCCGGCGTAAACCATCTGTACATATGAGTGCGTGCATCCACAATATGGATGAAGAGGTTCCCCTGTGGGGTGCTTTTTCTGAACAATTTTTCACAGACCACCGCAAAAAGAAAAGCACAATTGTTTTATAAATTTTTTTGTTTCCGGTTGTCTTTTGTCCAAACCCGTCGGGACGTTTCCCTTCCTTTACACCTGTGACACATGGTTTTGTTTACTGCTGCTTGTAATTTTTCTTTTTCCGTTCTGTCCGTATTGGTTCGGTCATAGAAAAAGACGATCGGGGTGATTTTTCTTAATAAGCTGCCTAGGCTTGCAGACTGGACCAAATAATAATAGCAGCAAAAAACAAACAAACAAAATGCTTACAGCACTGACTATCGGGTACCGTAATCAACTTATGTATACTTGTGGCAAGCGAGCTGTCATGCCGCCCAATCTGTGACCTATTCATACTGGGCTAAAATAAAACGGCAGCTGGCCCGTGAAAGAATGCAAGATATGCAGCCCGTGCCCTACCCTGCACGAGACCAGTACGCCTACTCCAAACCCCGTGGGACTCATTAACCTGCACACAAGGGGAGGTCTCACCTTTTCGAGACCAGAGTTTGTGACAGTGCTTGTAACTCAAATAAGCACTTGACATTGCTGTTCCACACATTGGAAAGCACGGAGTGCTTAAAGAGTTGACAGCACTGATTTTGCCATACTTAGAGAAGTGCCCAGCAAGGATGACCTTGCAGCACAAAGTGGTAGGTCTCTATTGAAATATTTGTTTTTTGCCGCTTTAATCTGGCGGGTATACTCTTTAGGCAATCATAGTAGGAATCCCAAGCTAGTGGAGACGGGTTCTAATTAGCTTTTCTGAAAAGACACTTTTTCTTGTTCCCCAGAGACCTAATAACATTGTTGAACCAAGGATTACAGGTGTCACAGTGAGTATGAATCAATGGCACAAAACGCTCCATAAGACCATAAAATTTGTTCCTAAACAACAACCAGTTGCATTCGACCGTTCTTCTGGAGTGTTCGGCAAGAAATTGTACGTAATATGCAATTAGTTCTCGATTTATTTCTGCGTAGTCGGCCCTATTGAAATCATTAATCATTTTTGAGACTCAGGTTTTCACAGTTTTGGGCTGTGTTAGGGTGACTTGCAATAACTTATGGTCGCTGAAACCATTGCTATAGTCAATGGAGCAAACCAGATCGGGTGACGATGACAAAACAACATCCAGGATATCGTCTAGCCGAGTCGGGGAATCGACCACTTGTGTTAGGTTCGAAGTTAACCATAATTCGAGGAATTTCCGCGATTCACTAGGGCCCTTAGACGAGAGACTTGACCAGCGTATATCCGGAAAATTGAAATCACCAAACATTAAAAAGTAGGCATGAGGAAAGCGGTTTATTATCTCTAGCAAGGAAAAGTTCAGTCTAGTAGTGAAATTACCATCACTGCTGGGTGCTCTGTAATATGCTATAAGTACAAGTTTGCTATACGCCGAGCAAATACAAACGAGTTCACTGAAAAGAAACGAATGTTGTCGACGAAACTTCGCTGAACAAAATGGTATGGGACTTCCTTTCCGGAGGTGCATGGGGGACGGCGGGGCTTCGGTTGCCGGCTGGACGACACGAAGCGGCGTGCACGATGGGGCCAAATGGATTAATATAACTGTAATTAGCAGCCGCATACTGCCGCCGCGAACTGGCGTGAACGCAGGCAGGGGGTTGGGTTAACGAGCTCCCCAGTGATACACGCGCGTCGTTAAAACTCTCTTTCAAACTGTTTTTTTTTTGTGTGTGTGTGTGTGTGTGTGTGTGTGTGTGTGTGTGTGTGTGTGTGTGTGTGTGTGTGTGTGTGTGTGTGTGTGTGTGTGTGTGTGTGTGTGTGTGTGTGTGTGTGTGTGTGTGTAACAAGCATAGCTTGATTGTTTAGATTAGGTGCACTATTTGTGCATCCCGTATAAAGCCCAAAAGGGCTCCGGCATGCGCGTTCATTCTGGTAGGCGCGAGTGGAGTGCCGTCGGACGGCACCGTAGACACAGCCTTCATTTTAAAGCTATCGCCTCGCACCTAACGATTCACTGTTCAGTCTTGGGAACAACAGAATACACAGGAAGAATAAAACACGTATGAACACAGCCACAGTTTTTTCAATGAAAGAACTGTGTGCCTGCGTTCGTCCTTTACGCGTTTTATTCTTCTGTGTATTCTGTAATTTTTCAACACACCCTGCTACGTGTACTTGACAACAGTACCTGTTTGTTGAGTAGAGATGTCTTTAACGTGAGCGTGAAATCAACTTCACCTTCACGCGCTGCGGTTGTTACTGAAATGCTGAAAACCAGTGCTGAAAACGCTGAAAAGAATACTAAACGAGCAGTGGGTTAAGAAACACGGCTGAAGCCAAAGTTTTTTAATTGGGCGGCGGCTCGCGCCCTCTGGTCTCTGCGTTACCTAACGGGCGTCTGCTGTGAACCGGCGTGAACTGCTGCGTGACTTTTTGACATTTGGGTAATATATTGCGTTTTTATAAAAATGGTCATATTTAAAAACAGAAACTAAGGCATTTCTCGAGCCCGGGAAGCTGGTGATCCCGGTGGCAACGGTAGAATTAGTGCAATCAGGCGCATCGTAAGCTGCAAAGCGAAACCAAAACAGCGGACAAGAGACGCGCGTTGTGTGGAGCTGCAGCCCGCCGAGGAAACCGAAGATCGGTGTTGCGGGGCGGTGCGAAATCGAGAGCGCCGTAGAAGACAGGAAAATGAGGAAAAGAGAGAAAAAGCAAGACACCGGCAGGCAACTTGGGGTCTGACCCACCCGATAGTTGTGCCTTCTGGGAAGTGCTAATCTTTTTTTCTTGTTTTTGACGACTGTCGGCATTTTGACAGACGCGCAAGGCGCTTCATCCATCGACTTAGACGGACGACGTAGGCGCATTCCCCTTCCACTCCTCGTGGTTCTTTTTAGAGCCCAGCGCTAAAAATGCGTCTGTCAAAATGCCTGGTTCAGACAGTTGCGTTTGATTGCGTTTGACTGCGTTGCGGCTGCGAGAAACCAGGACATTCCTGCTGCTTATGTCGCGTGCCAAGATGATTCCTTGAGTTGGATTGCACGCTTCGTACGAAGCACAGATGTGCCGGTTACTCGCTTTCGGTTCTCGACGCAACGCAGTCAAACGCACTCAAACGCAAGTGTCTGAACCGGCCTTTAAGAGCGCGTTTTCGGCTTGAGCGGTGTCGCGTCGGTGTCGGCGTAGCCGCGCGCGTTGCATTATGGCAATAATGCAAACGGGCGTAACCGCGCGTTGCGACCCCGCTATATTTAGCGAAAACAATTCCCCGCTAAATTTACTGGAAAAATTTCCGCGCTAACTTTAGCGGGGAAAGTGTTCTGCCAAATT